GCACACAGGTGAGGCTCACTGGGCTTGCAAATTACATGGCCCCGCCAGTGTCCACCATCTCCTCATGGTCTGACTGCAGACACTGAAAATACTGCCTCCCTGGGAGAGACCAGGTCATAGGCCTATCCCTAGCTGCTGTGTGAGCTTGGGCCAGCCACTTAACATTTCTGAGCCTCAGGTGGATTATGCACAAGATGCTGATTAGCCTCCCAGCATTTTAGATCTGGTAGCTTTGTCACCACTAACCAGGGCTCACACCAAGAGCATACTCAGCTGAGGGACAGTCTCACCTACCTTACAGCGAGGTAAGTACCCTGCCCAACGTTGCTCAGCCATGTACAGACCCTGAGCTGGCCAGCTGGGAGCACTCAGATCTGGAAAGAGCGACAGGTCACCCTGGCCTTATCCTGAACACGCCAGAAGCAGGGGTAATGGCCATCATCCTCAGTTCTGCCCCATCTGCATGGAGCCCCTCTGCAGGGAGGGAACATGCCAGGCAGACACTTTTCAGCTTGTAAACAGTCATTAAGGAGCTAATAAACCTGATTTCCCAGAACCCTGCCCTGGGGCTCCCCACTTGCCCTGAAAGAGGCTGGCCCCAGCCTCAGTGGCTGCCAGGGCTTGAGGGCACTTGGACACAGGCCCACCTGGGCTATGCCCATACTGGGCAGGCTTGCAAAGCCACCTGTCCACTGCCTCCCCTCCCACCTTGCTTTGGGGCAGTGTGGGGTTCTCTTGTTGAGGAAGAGAAGGTCTGGGGACCAGAGGCAAGGCCAAAACCTGGCTGGGCACTGGGAGGCTGTGGGCACACTCCCACTGCTGAGCCTGTTTCCTTGGCTGCGAGATGGGTGGTGCCCTGCCACACAGCGAGCCAGCACAGATGACAGCAAAGATCCTGAAAGTACAGTGCTTGGCACCCAACCAACAGTAGGCTGCCGGCTTTGTTTTGTCCTGGCTGAGCTCTGCCACCACCACTCACATGGCCCCTATATCTGAGCCAAGAGCACCAGGTGTGACAGGGCTCTACTTAACAGGTAGGGAAACTGAGGCTCAAAGAGGCTGAGTAACTGTTCAGTCAGGGAGAGGGTGAGGCTGACCCCCAGGCAGGGTCCTGTGCTCTTAACCTCCATATTCTGCGGCCTGCTCCCTGGAAGTAGGGGTTCAGGAGGCAAACTGATGCACACAGGGGGCTGGCTCCAAGCAGCTGGGGTGCCCAGGCCTTTGGCTCATGAGCCCCTCCCACCAGCAGGCAGAAGTGATAACTCCTAAGGCTTGGGCAGCACTTCTCAGTTTCGCAAAGGGCTTTTGCAAACATTATCTCATCTAATTGAGGTGAGCAGCAGGAGGAGGCTGTCATTAAGCTCTCTGGCTGCTGATAAGGTCCCCAATCCCATAGCAGGTCCCCCCATCCTGTTCTTTCAGGTGGCTGCAGGAAGCCAGGACATAGGGAGACTCATATGAATGGGAAAAGGCACCCCATGCAAAGGATCAGGGGTAAGAAGGCCTCCTGGTGACACCTGTGACACTGGGCACAGGTGCGGGAGCCCCGTGTGGGAAGCAGGGGAGAAAAAGCCCATCTACTCAGCCCAGACCCAGCCTCAGGAGCCTTGGCCAGAGACAGCCCAGTCCAAGGGCATCACCTCTGGGATCCCCAGTACTGTGAGAGATACATAGCTGGCAGGTAGGGACACCCTGGGAGTGGGCAGCAGTTCGGGCCCAGATGGAAACTCATCCTCATTTCCCTTGGCCCCCACCCCAGACGCAGCTGTGAACAGAATAACACCAGTGCTGCTCCTCTGGACGCACGTTCTTACCTGGCTCAACAGCCCACAGGGCAGGGCCTCTGCCACAACCCGAGTGTGTCACGCATGGCAGCCATGCTCCTAAGATGTCCCAAGTCCATGACCACAATGGTTCCACTCACTGTGTCCCCGTAATAGCCACACCCTAGCTAGTTCCCACTGGAGTCTTCATCCTACAGTACTCCCACTTTTCAGGTGGGGAAACTGAGGCACAGACTGTTTAAGTGACTCGCACCTTCCTGGGCATGAGCTCATAGACCACTATGCCTGCTGGCCCCTGAACCTTGGCCCCAAGGTTGGAATCACCTACTCCCCCATCCATCACCATGCTCAGCCCATGCCCTGGGCCAGTGCCCACCTGGCTCAAACCACGATCCTGCAGGATCTAAGCAGCACTGAGCCTGAGCTGCTGCTGCAACTTTCAGCCACAAACTTGCCTCTGGGTCCTGGCATGAATTTACTGAAGAGCCCCTTAAAGGTGTGTGGGCAGCTCCGTACCTCCCTAAAGGTGAGAAGGAAAGAGGAGTTTCCCTTACACAATCTATTTCTCAGAGAGACAAAGGTCACTTGAGGGGCAGTCCCAGGGAAGTCCTTCTTTTGCCCAACAGCAGGGCACGTGGCAGCTTCTCCTGTGAGGACGCCTGTGTCCTGAGAGCTGCCTGGGCCTGGCAGCTTCTCCTTCTCAGCCGCCGTGCTACCCGAGGTCAGCCAGCACTCAGCAGCCACTGGCAGCTGCTGCTCCTCCCCTAGCCTGGCTCAGCTGGAGAGGAAGTCGGGAGCCACTTCCGACACACTGCAGATGTGTGAGCTCACTCTGGAAACTCCCTTGGGCTTCGGGGTAACACCTAGGCCTGCTCCAAAGTCTGTGGCACAGAGATCCCAGGGGATGTGCAGGTGGAAGGTCACCAGGAAAAGTACACATATCCTTTACCATACACCAGGGACAGGTGAGGGTGGGCAGACCCAAAGGGAAGCGTTGGGCGCCTCATCCAAGTCACTGGGACACACTTGACCTCCTCCTGCTCTGAGCTAGTGTCTGTCTGGGGCAAAGTTCACCCAAGTAGGTCAGGGATCCCAGTGGAAGCTACAGCAGTGTCTAGAGCTCAGGCTACAGACAAAAACCCCCCAAAAAACAAAAGAACAACCCACCACCGGCCCAGAGCAAGACTGAGACCCCACAGTGGCCCTCCAGTGTATGTGTGGGCATGACTCAGTCCTCCTCTTACAGGAACAGAAGTTTCCTTCCTGGACACTACAGTGAGTGTGGGTGGGGGGGACACCAGGAGTAGCAGTGGCTCAGGGATGAGCCAACCGTGTAGGAGTCATGGGTAGTTTACTAGGCTTTGTGAGTGGGCCTGGGGGTGAACAGCTCCATACAAGTCTGGATGCTCAGGCTTGTACCTCAAGAGACACACGCAATGGAGGCCACCATGACTGTTGTCCGTCCAAAGGAAAGGTGGGCATTTCACTCTGGTCTGTTATGGTAAAAAGACCCAAACCCAAAAACCTACTGCCTGCCCTTTTGCTCTGCCAGGGTTTCCAGGCAAGGGGGTCAGGTACTAGGGGGACAAGATGAGGGCAATGGAAAATTATTAGGGAATGGAAAGGGAGGGCCATGGAGTGGCCTGGGCACCTGGGCACAGATGTGGCTGCCTCATTTGACCCTGTCCCACCCTACTGCCTACTGATCCTCAATACCAGAAAGCTGGGAGTCCAACTCCAACAGTTCCCTGTCATCCCTACCAGGGACTGTCAGGCCCGCAGCTCTGTCCTTCGTTCCTCACTTCTGCTCAGCTAATGTCATGAGCAGGGTGCCTCCTCCACTAGCAGGGTTCCCACCAGCACATGGGCAGCTTATTACTGCGGGAGGGAAGGTCAGGGAGCCACAGGAACAAGGAGCCCTGCTTCTTCTTAGGTATTACTTTCCTGGTATAAGTAACTGGAGGAGTTCCGTGCGAGCTCAGAAGGGAAAATTCCAGCAGGTCACATGGCATCACACATCCACACCAGTTTTAGCAATCCAGCTTTGGGAAAATCTGTGGGTCCAATGTTCACCCCTGTCACCTCCCATTCTCAGGGATATCTGAACTCATGGGCTGGCCTGGCTCACCCTGCACGGCAGGCTGTTCTGGGGTGAAGGACCCCATTTCCAGCTTCTCCACAGCACCCAGATCTGCTTCCTGCTGGGCCTGTGAGCAGAGGAGAGGCAGACTCCAAAGCACCACACTCACCAGGGGAATAACTGCCCGCACACCTCCTTACGCACCCAAGCTGCTCCCTTCACCACTGAGGAAACTGAGGTAGAGAGGGGAATCAGTGAATAGCACCTCAATGCACCAGGCGCCTGGGGGTCTAATCTCAGCACAGCACTATCAATTTTTTGGACTGAACAGTTCTGTTTGATGTTTAGTACCATCCCTGGCCTAGAACTTCAAAAGGCCAACAGCATCACTTGCATTCCCTCCATATTCTGTGACAACCAGAAAGTCTCTAGACTTTGCCAAATATCCTCTGACGGGCAAAAGTCCCCTACCTTCAATCCCTCAATAGCCTGGAATGGTGACACATATCATAATCCCAGCACTCTTGCAGGGTGAAACAGACAAATTCGAGCCCAGCCTGGGCAACGTGGTGACTCAGTGAGACCTTGTCTCAAAATAAAATTTTTTTTGAAGGATGCAGAGATGTAGCTCTGTGTAAAGACCCTGAGTGCAATCCCCAGTACTTTTTTTTTTTTAAAGTACTAATTCCCGGTTGAGAACCAGTGTTCTAAAACAAGCTGCACTTTTTCCCCTCCCTGCCCTACAGAGTGACAACAGCATAACACCGATGTTGGGTTCATTATTCTACCAACAAATGTCACACGCAGTGGGGTTCTAGGTCTAGCTTTGTGAGGGCGATTTCTCAGGAACATCTCCTCTGTCTCTTTCTGTCTGTCTGTCTGTCTCTGTCTCTGCTTCTCTCACAGCCCCAACCCTAAGCTTTCTCTGAGCTGGGAAGACCTGGGAGCTGGGCTGCCTCTGTCTCTGGGGTAGGTCAGCTCTCCATAACCTTCAACTCGATGCCCTAAACAACAGCAGAGGGGGCCAAACTGGTGAGCGGCAAGCCGAGGGGCTCCTGGGTCCCCCTGCAGCGCTCCGGTGCAGCCTGGCGGCGTGAGCCCGTCCCCGCCCCGCCCCCGCTCCGCCCCGCCTGCACCTGTTCCACCTCGGCGAGGCTCGTCGCCCAAACTTCGCCCCAAACTTCGCCCTGCCGTCGGTGCTCAGCCGGGAGAAGCGGGAGGGCGGGGAGGGCTGAACCTCTGGCACTTCTGGGGCGAGGGCGGGGCCGCGCGCTTGGGCCCGGACAGTCCCCTCTCCTCCTTCCGGGCTTTCAATCGACGTGCCCCGTGCGCAGTGACTCAGGCTCGCACCCCCTGTCGGAGCCCAGCGCCGGCAGCCCGGGTCCCTCGTACCCGCGGGCGCAGAGTCCGGCCCCGGCCTCCGAGCGGGCCCACGTGGGCCCCGGGCGCTCCGCAGGGC